ATAATGGTTACCGTGACAACGAAGAATTAGTTACAAGTTATAATAAAAAATCAACTGCGTAATCCCTTCAGTCAGCTGTAGCTACAGCCTTCAATAAATTCTTAGATAAATCAGAAACAATTAACTATCTTTTTTTCTTTATATTTTGAATTTATCAGTTGTCGTTATCGATTGTCTTTAGAAAAAAATAAACAAAACGAATACTAAGCGTACAGCTGAAATAAGCAAAAGTTATATGATATTTTTTAAAACCAATCACATCGAATAACAGGCCAAATACGTTTTTTAACACGTGCCCTATTCGCAATAAAGTTTTGTATAGGCAGGTGTACTATATAAATATTGTTCCATGATTGTTGATGATATCTTCTTTTACATTCTAAAAATAGAAATAAAAACAATTTAAAAATGTGGAATTGTTGAAATTTCTTTGTTGAAACACAGAGGCAACTAATGATGATGAAAAAAGTACTTTTTTTCTTTCCTTTTTTTCTTCGAACTCTTTCACAGTTAGGATGAGTTTTATAAGAAAGATAATTAAAATTTGTAATTAAATTTTCATAAGAAATTTATATTTGAGAATGGATAGTAATAGATTGTGAATTTAATCTAGTGCGGAGAGGAAGCGTCAAATTTGATCTTAATAATATGAGAAACGGATATTAAATTTTTCTATTAATTTTTAATAACAGAACTAGTGCTGTTACTTTCGAACATTTTCAAATCCCTTTCACAATAAATGTTCTTCTATTAGCTCATTATCCTCACCCTTACACCTACACCCTCAAGATTCATACCATATTTTAGAAGTAACATCAACATACAAATGTCGTCAGCAACTTTAACAGCTATTCAAAATCAAATTAATATTTATGGAAATGCATTTTTGATGGTCATGGGAAATATTGGAAATGTTTTGATCATTATGATTTTTAGTCAACAACATAAAAGTGCATGTTCATTTTATATAATGAGTGCAGCTGTAGTGAATTTTATTTTTTTAACAATTAACGCTTATTTTCAAATATTCCCATTTGATTATAGTACTGGAACAACAGGTTCAATTATTTTCTGTAAAGTATCTGCTTATATACTAAATATTTTTGGACAATTAGCTAAAACATTGCTTGTTTTTGCATGCATTGATCGTTTTCTAATCACCAGTGATCGTGCTAGTTTTCGAGCATTTAGTACACTTAAACGAGCAAAATATCTTGTATTTTTATCTTGTATTTTTTGGTCGGTACTTCCTCTTCATGTTCCAATAATGAGAACTGTAGTCAATGGACGATGTGGTGCATCTGGTATTTACTCAACAATTTTTGCATTAATATTTGTTTGTTTATTTCCATCTATGACATTGACTATATTTGGCTCTTTAGCTTATTATAATTTGAAGAAATTACAAAATCGTGTTCATCCACTTCTACAAAATACAAATAATCAAAATAATACTTTTCAACGACGAGATCGAAATTTATTAATTATTGTTTTTTCTGAAGTATTTACATATATTATTACATCAATTTTATATCCTGTAATTCTATTAGAAACAACAATTAGTCAATATGTAGTACTACATAAGAGTGCTCAGTATTCACAAATTGAGAGTTTCCTACTAACTATTGGCTATCTTTTATTATTCTCTAATAGTGCGATACCTTTTTATTCTTATTATATTGGATCAAAATCATTTCAACGAGATGTTAAAAAATTAATAATAAACATTTATCAAAAAATAACAAAACAATTACCTTCTGAAAATGTCTCTACAACAAATCGAATATTAACACAACGAGACATTCATGTTTAATCAGACGACTCTAGTACACTTTTTAATGTTGTTTTTGTCATGTGTAATTAATTTAATTTGATTTTCTGTAAAAGTTTCTTTAGACATATGTCAAAACCAAAAAACATCGTTTTTGACATAAGTTTTGGTTTTGAGATACTTAGAAAAAATTAACTGTGAGAAAATAATTTACTTTAGGTTCTTGATAACTGCCAGTGACAAAAAAAATCTTTTTGGAGAATTTTTTATGCTTCAAATTTTATAATATAGTTTGAAAAATATGTTTGTAATAAATTAATTAAGGAGTCTTTCTTCTCATCATTACATTATTTAGAGAAACATTTCATTACTTTTGATACGAGTTATCAGATTTCGGAAAGATATCTTCATTAAAAATTCATCTACACAATATATACTTTATTGCAATCGTATTCTTACAAAATTTCTCTTCATTATTCTAGTAAAAAATACAAAACTATCGATTAATTAAGGATAAGAGTGAGACAAGCTACCATGGTCGGTTTCATCCTTGCTTACAGGACTCATTTTGAGGGTGAATCAATTCAAAAAAGATACAGAGTTGATTCGCCAACGAATCTCTTGTCATTTATTAAAGCATAACACTCATCAGGACACTCTGCATATAGATAAGCTCAAAACGTAAATTCAAAATAAGAGAGAAACACATTTCACAATGTGAGGGAAGTTAGCGAGGTATTCGAGTTTTGTCTAGATCGATTCGGACAATCCGCTGTGCTAACTACGGAATGTTGTATGCTAGATAGAGTCCAATGAGCTCTATCGACTGATGTATTGACTTCTAAAAATGAAATCCACATCAAAGAAATAAACCATGAGATATGATTTTTCACCACTGGAAAAAAATGCAAAATAGATATTTTTCAGAAATATACAATTCATGAATTAAAAGTGTGGATGTGAGTATAACATTAACCTTACTCTGACACCCACACCCACATCCACACTCTCACCCACACCCACATCCACACTCTCACCCACACCCTCATGATAAGACAGCAACACAAAATGAGACTTTTCTCTAACTTCAATAGACTGTATATAATAAAGAAGAATTTCAAATATCTCTGAACGAATATAGTTAACCAACGACAGCTATCGGTTACTCTCAATATACTAGCTACTTATTTTATATGATTGGTTTTGTAAGATAACTATAAAATTCTAGAGTATTTCTATTCAATCAAATAATATAATTATTAATGTTTAGAAATAAATCTATTAAATATTTGATAAAAATATAATTATAAAATGTAATATATAAACTAAATGTATTCTAAATAGATTTATAAATCATTTTATTATTGTGTTTTTTAATCGATATGAATAGTGTGATTTTTTTATAGAATAAACTAACTATGAATAGTTTATTTATATTTCGTCGTATATTATCAATCGCATCTTCATCGAAACAAATCCGTACAATAATGACAAAACTTTCTCAAAACTCACTTAACAATTCTTCTACACAAACATCACTTTTTCAATTATATAGTATGTTTTTTTATTTCTTAAACTAAACTCTTCGCAATTTAATCAAATTTTTAAAACATTTTATCATTATAATAAAATTTTCTTATAGTTGATATTGTTCAAGTATTTCATTATTGTTCAATATGAGGCGATTATTTTTTTCTGAAAGCTAATTTTTTTTAAAGATACAAACTCCATTTTTCCATATAATTGAAAAATGTGAATGATTAGATAATGAACTCGAGTATATCTATAAATCTTTCTTTATCATTTATTTTTATCGTTGTAAATAGTATTAAAAATAATGAACAACTATGAAAATTCTTAATTGAGACTTCCGAACTTTTACAAAGAAAATTTTCTGATTTATTGAATTAAAATATATCTAATATATAATATTTCATTTTCATTTTTATTTCTAGTACAACGTCATGATATTAATAATGCCTATCGTTTATTTTTGAAAATAACCAATAAATCCGATTATATTTATGCAACTATGATTAAAAGTTGTTTATTATTTCTATCATTTGATTATCCTTCATTTACTTATTTTTAGGTCTTATTTCAAAGAATATGTTGGATAAAGTGCTTGATTTATTTGATGAAATTAAAATTCAACCTAGTCCCATTATTCTCATTATGTTATTTGGTGTTTGTGCTCGAACTAATAATGATCGAGCAAAGCAAACTGGAAGAAAATTTCTTAATGAAATGTCAAAGGATTTTCTAAATGATAATATTCTACTTACTTCAGCAATAAATATGTTAATGAGATTCGGTGATGTTAAAAAAGCCGAAGATCTTTTTCAGATAATAAAGAAAAAAGATATTATTACCTATGGTGCTATGATGAAAGGTAAATTATGAAAATGAATTTTTAAATCTTAAAAAAGTTCAATTTAGGATACACATTAAATCATATGTGTGACAAAGCCTTAGATTTATTTGAACAAATACAACTAAATCTTAGTAATGTCAGTTATTCGATTATTTTCAATGCATGTGCTCAACTTTCAAATGATCGTGCAAAACAAATTGGACGAAAACTTCTAGATGGCATGCCTGAGAATTTTAAAGAAAATAAATATATTCAAAGCTCAGCAATAGATATGTTAATGAAATTTGGTGATGTTAAAAAGGCTGAAATTTTATTTAAAACGTTTGAAGAAAAGGACATTATTACTTATAGTACTATGATGAAAGGATATAATATAAATAATGAACCATTAAAAAGTTTGAAACTTTTTGAAGAAATCAAAAAAAATCATATAAAAATTGATGAAATCATATCAGTCATATTGATTGATACATGTGCGAAAATTGGTATTCGTTCAATATGTGAATCAATTGTTAATCAATTTCCATCATATTTATATAATAATCAATATATATGTAATGCATTAATAA